TTGTAACGCAAAACGTATTTGATTTATCGGCCACTGGTTTTGTTATAGGATCAGTTTAGCCTCAGAGATGTGGAACATGTATCCGTTAGACTTGTTGTGTCAAAAGACACAAGAAACAATTGGCTTTAATTATGTTACATATTCTTAATTGGTGAAACATTTGTCTGTGGTTTTGTACTTCTCAGGTTTTTTTTTTTTTTTTTTTGCTTGTTGCGACATTCATAGACCCATTGGCTTTTTAATTGCAACGTATTTTATAAATAACAAATTTGCATGCCAATAACTTTATTTAGAATATAGAAAAGCCCATAACTAAAATATGCTTAGTGAGTTTAGGGACTGTGCACGGATCGAACTGAAATTATTATCACAAATAGGTATTTTAAACCAGATTACAGCAAAGTAATTATTTCGTGTGGAGAAAATCTTAATTCCATCATTTTTTTATGACCATATCTTCGTACTCATATTTTACATCTTGATACCCCATAATGTGTCCATTTTCGACTTTTTAGGGGTCTTTCGAATAGTTTTCGGTATAAACAGTTTAATTTTCCTTTATTGCACCGAAACCCCATCATATAACACTTGTTGCAAAGATATTTCCATGAACATTTCGCATATATCGGTTTTGTGGAACCGGATAAAACACGAACTTTCGGGTAGAATAACCGGGTATTCTCTCACGAAAAAATTACTTTGCTGTAATCAGGTTAAAAGTACCTGCATGTTGTAAAATTTTTAAAATGATTGCTCATTAAAGTAGTTATTTCACAGAATTCGACTATAAATGTATACTATCTAAAAATAAGGACTTTTTTCATGGGCGTAATTGAGAAGGATATTCAAAACAAAAGGTTAGGAAGTAACAATCTATAAATACATGTGTATATGTCTAGGCTTATTTAATATATACATACTCTTCAGTATCCTTTGAATGTCCTTTGGGTGTTTGGTCCCTATACATCAGGAAGTATTTATTCATAATATCGTGCTTCTTTTTCTGGTTGTCGTCGAAAAATGAAATGGTCGGGTAATATTGTGCCAGTTCACCAATATCAGTACTTTTATCGTTCAAATAGGTCGCAATCATGATATTATTGCGCTGGAGTCGGTCATCTGCACATATCGCCCATCTCGCTGCCTTATCAGTACCATTGGAACTTTTTTTTGGGCTGACCATTTTATGTCCTGCCGCAAGACGGCATCTACTTCTACGACTTTATATGAAATTCCCATAAAGTCTAAAAATGCTCTCACTTTGCAGCAGAAAGGACACGTTTGAAATTGGAACAGGGTTACATCTAATCCCGAAGTATCCTTGGGATTCACAAATCTTTTTGTTATCTTTACGTTTTCGGGAAATTCTGCAACAACAGCCGGCGCAGATCGCTCATGTTCCTTATGCGAATTCCCATCCTTCCAATTACTATAAAGAGAGTAAACGGTGCCTCCAGTAGCTCCTAGAGTGGAGCCTAAAATTGCTAACTTTATGTACTCGGGCCGCCAGCAGTACGTTTTGGAGCTGTAGCAAATTGTCGACCAACGATGTTACGTGATACCGCATACCGCTTAGGATTCTTCAAATGAAACAAATTCCTAAAGGAACACTGTTGATGCGTTGCAACGACATAACCGATGTTTCACTGACAATCTTTCAATTCTAAAATGTAATTATTTTTTCAATTATTAATATAACAAAAACCTTCACTTAAATTCGACTGGCCAACAAAGCACGAAGCCGATCGGCTCACAGTGATCTGAGACGCCGCCGATGTATGCGGCTCTCATTGGCTCAAAATGCATACAGCATGTTTGTATAAAAATTTCTTTTATTTTATCGATTACTAAACTTATTATTCCTTAGTCTAATGCACACTATTGGACCATAATTGACAGTGTGCTATTAATATTAATTATACCCTACAATTCATAGTGGTAAGGTTACAAAAGGATGCCAAGTTCCCCGGCGGCAACTAAGCACAAAAAAGTCGGCGGCGGCAAAAAATCAACTGCAGCCGAAAGAAAATCGGCACGCCCGCTAAAGCAATAAACGGTCGCGGGGGCTAAAAGTCGGCTACATTCGAAGGCTTTTGTTTGGTTTATATTTAAATAAAAATTATGCAAATTTGTAGCTTATAGCACTTTAATAATTATAACAAAATATACTTATTTGATAAAAATGGTTCGACGACCGCATTGTTATCATGAACAAACAATTGTATTTTTTACTATTGCGGGATGCAGGCTGCTTCTCTTTGCATTACCACAATTCTTTAAAAATAGTTTTTAATATTTCTTTGGCACATTTTATAAATCTTTGATTAATGCTTTTCCTACTTTTGATGAACAAGCAAAACACTACGACTTTTTTGCAAACCATGTGGCTGCCACTCCATCAAATTCGTAAGTTACAAAAGGTTGCCAAAGGTTTTGTAATAGAAAATAAATACACAAAGACATAATACCCTTACCACTATGAGGTGTAGGGTATAATTAATATTCATAGCCTACATGTTTTGCCTCTTCTATGAAGACGAGTACACACTATCAATTATGGCCCATTAGGGTACATTCGACTCATGGAATAATAAGTTTATTAATCGATAAAATTAATAAGATTAAAATACATATTTCTACAAACATGCAATATACATTGTTTCCACGGCTTGGCCGAATCAGTCGGCTAAGAATTTGAGCCGATGAGAGCCGCATACATTGGCGGCGGCTCAGATCACTTAAAAAACACGGCGGCGGCTATGCGCCGACTGCAAGCCGTTCGGCTTCGTGCTCTGAACGCAAGGATATATCTCAAGAATAAAAACAACAATCTCTCTAATGGATTCGGCTAAGCTAGATAAATACGTGGACGACGATGTATTTAGTTCCATATAAAGTGGGGTTTGTACTTTGGAGCATTTTTCCAATTAGCATGTATTTTGACATCGATTTTGCTGCCATATACTTCACATCACGACCAGGAAATCTCAACAGAGGTATGTATTATTCATTTTTAAAGGACAATTGACCAAAAACTAATTAGTTTGGCTTACAGGACCCTAAAACGAACAGCAGCGGCGAGTCACAACCTGTAAATCGAAGGTTGCACAAAATTCGGAAGCAAGAAAAAAAAAAAGACGTTAGCTACTTATATGATCTGCATCCTGGGCCATTAAATTTTTCTAATGGCTCCTCCTATGTTATAACTTAATTTTAGTAAAAACATATTTCCATTTTTAAAACCAAGATATTTGTATTTATCCTTCTATTTCACAAATAAGAAATGAAAACTGATTATTATTCACTAATAAACAACCTACCGTAGAAAGGTTTATATGCATACATGTATTGTTGATACACAGGGAACTACTCCACGGCAACAAACTTTGGGGCATGGTAACATATTTTGGTAACCAAAGTAAACTGAATTCAATATAAAACTAAATGACAGAATTTACTTCATTGTACTTTTTACTGTGTTCACTCAATAAGTAGAAGCGTTTTGACTATTAAATTTATCGAAATCAAAAATTAAATTCCTATATTTAAGATATGGCATATCAATCGTTATTAGTTTTGGAGAAACCACTTCAACATCTATCATTGTCAGATTGGAACAGTCGGGTCAACAAATTACGAAATATAGCTGATGCTAGACGTAATGATGCATTTAATGTTCGCCAAAGCTCTAGAACTTTAAGAAACGAGACTCGCATCGAAGCAGATTGGACTAATTTGGAATCTAATGAAGCATTAGCCCAGCGGTCAGTATAAATTTGTTTGGCTGAATAAGGTTGAAACTAAGCAAGCGTTCTATTTCTGGCCCACCTCAAGGATTTATTGACACTCACTTCACTTCAACATTTGTTAATTACGACACACTTAATCCTATTTAAATCTTATTTTAACAGCATTTCCGAGCTAAATCAATGGCGCATCTCTAAAAACTACTCTGGAACGTATTGAACGTGAAATGAAATTGCTAACAGAGGAAAAGGCTTCTACTGAACGTGAATTAGATGCTATGCAAACACCACTTTCCATCATTGGAGAATGTCTGACGATGAGAGACTGCCGACTGGGAGCGGAAATGACATACGATGACGCTGACACAGAAATAAAAAACGAACTGACAATCGTTGAAAATAATCAACGGCTTTTAGCAGTACAGTGTCAAAAAGCCTGGGAGAAATTATCAAGGCTAGAAGAAGTCAAGTTCAAACTTAATCTCGAGGTAACTAACAAAACGGAAGCGGAGGAATTGGATATGCGTCAGTTAACATTGGATAAATTTGCAGCAAATATTACGTACAAGCCAGACCCAACAAGGAATCCGAAAAAGTATACTACCTGTATATTCATATATGTTATATTGTTAAACTCTCTATATATACACTTTAAGTTATTGTGCCTACCAATCCTGGCAAGAACACACAAGACAAATGAAACAGCTTGCTGAAAACGAACTAGCTGATACATATGCTATACGGGAAGCTTTGTTTGTATGCCGGGAAAGGCCCGTAATATGCTATTGTCGCAACAGGAAAGAACAGAGCACACTATTAGAAAACGTATTTTCGAAACACAAAGGGCGAGAAACGAATTAGAGTGGCAGCAATTGAAGTAAGTAAGTAGCTTAAAACTAAATATTCTGCAGTACACGTTCTTCCTCTTTGCGACAGATGAAAGAGGAGATGGAAAAGGCTGTTTGTGAAATAAAAACTTTAGAGCAGTCTTTGCGGGACAAAACCGACGCATGTAACTAGCTGAAACACGTTTAGGAATAGAGCACAACGGTCGGGAATGGAACTTTGCTTGGATGTTGCTCCCGAGCAATTGGTTTTAGAAGTTCAAAAGCTTCGGGATATTCGTCGCCAACTGACGGATAAAATTGAAGAAGCAAAAACCAACTTCAATTTTCTACAAGATCATGCTCAAAAAATTGATGTTGATTGGAAAATAACAGCATTCTTTAATGACGGATATCAGAGCTCTCGAATTACGTCAACGTCTAAAGTTTTCAGATTTGCACAATCAGACTCGACATCAGTTCAGACGGATCGTAATATTGTATTAACAAAAATGGAAAAAGAAATTCCTAAGAATTAGCACATTTTTTGTCTTTAACTAAATATTGAATATGAAACGAAATTTCCATAGCATTATGAGTTTTTTACACGTTTCAAACTTTATTCGTGAAATAATCTATACTACACCAAAATGAAATAAAGAAGCAAAAAAAGAAAAGGGGAAACGGACTGCAAGTTCAGCCGATCCAAACTGATGAAAAGCTATCCGAGGATCTATATTTGCAAACATTTGGCTTAACTCTAGTTTAGTAAAAACACTTCAATTTTTCCAGTGGTAGGTATTTTTTCCTGATCCCGGGAAACTATTTTTTTTCTTGGGGAACGGACCAGGGACTCTAGATTTTTGGCTCGAAAGTCCGGGTTCAAGATCCCGACTAGACCCGGATCCAATTACCCGATATAGACAAAATAAGTATCGTTGGAAAACTTATGAAAATACATACCTTTGAAAATGATCATATGGGGGTAAGTGGTCACAGTTCGGAAGTTTAGGCAAATTAACCATTTTTGGTGTGGATTTTTTAGAAAACCCCCAAAAAGTTGAAAAAGGGTCAATTATGGAGGGTCAACCAAATTGATACTTCCAGATATGAGATATTTGAAACAGGGACAAATCGACTGAAAAGTCGATAGCAAATATCGAAATCGTTCTTACCTATCGATAGTCGTGAGTCGACATACGTATTTCCTATTTTGCAAATTTCAATCTCCATTTTGTAACTTATCCATGGTTGGCTAAAACGTCAAAATGGCAGAATAACAAACTTTGTTAATACGCTACGCTCAACAACATCTAGCAACAAAACAGGGAAATGGCACAAAATATAAGTCCCGAACACAGTGGCCTCTCAGGATCTCAGGGTGTTAAACATAATGATGATTCAGTGCCTATAAAAGATAATCATGCCGTTAGTAAAAGGTAAAAGACATTGGCATTCCTATAGATATTTTTTGCTTCATGCTAATGTTAATTTATTTACAGACTACAGAAGGAATTGATGAGTCTTATGATGACCACCGAAAGGGTATCTCAGCATTTCCCGACGGCGAAAATATATTCAAATGGATCGGTACTATTGCTGGGCCTGTAAACACTGTGTATGCTCAACAAAAGTACCGTTTGTCTTTGGAGTTTCCCAATTCGTACCCATACGCGCCTCCTGTAGTCAAATTTCTTACGCCATGCTTTCATCCGAACGTAGACCTGCAGGGTGCAATATGCTTGGATATTTTAAAAGATAAATGTCAGCGTTGTATGACGTTCGCCACCATTTTATTGTCCATTCAATCGTTATTGGGTGAGCCCAACAACGACAGTCCATTGAACGCACAGGCCGCCATGATGTGGGCTGACCAAAAAGAGTACAAAAATACCTCGATGCTTTTTACGAGAAACATCAAGACACATAATTTGTAAAGCACGTTTAGATCGTATCTCATCCATCTCTTTCATTACTGCTAATAGATCCTTACCGTTTAGTATAATGTGTGTATGTGTAAATCAATCATCAATCTATATTTATCAAAATTGTCAATCATTACATTTTATATCATTTCCTATCCGTTTTCCAACATTGTAACATTTTAGTTTTCTTTAATATGATGGAGGTGAACATAGTATTGGATGTTGAAAGTAAATTTATTCTAAATTGTCCAGTTTGTCATTGCATTAATTATTTACCTACGTAACAAATGAAAATAATAATATGAAGCATTATCAACAAAATGTATAATTTAAGTTTATGTTAAACAGTCAGTGTTTTATTATTTGAAACAAATGAGAAGTTTAAAGGGTAAAAACACGTGGCAATTGATTCGGTTTTAAAATTTTTATTCATATTTCATATCTTGGAAAATGTGAATTTCGAGAATATTTTGCTTTTCAATCCATCTAATGGATGTATTGTTTAAAACTTAGGTTGCGAACTTTTCAATCATAAAAAGAGAATATTCTACGACTAGTATAAATAAATTGTAAGTTTACAAAATATAGGCGAATAATGGTCAGAAGTGTGTTAAATTTTCCCATGAACTATCAAAAAATAGGCTATGCAAACCATTATTTCCCACAAATTATTTGTGCATTTTTACCCGATTCGAGAGGTCCGCCTAACAAACATTCATTGATGGTAAAACACTGCCTGTAATTAATTTATCAGTTTTATTTAATTGAAAATATTTATTTTTGTGTGGCTTCACAACTTAGTTTAAGTCGCTTTTTATCAATTTCGATTTCAGTTTCAAAATTATCATCCTCCACTGTAAATTTGCAGTTCTTTGCAACAAACTTCTTTGCTTCTTCGTTGAACAGCTTCCTATTATTTTTGTACAAATCTGCAGCATCACCTTGTAATGGATCATCGGGGTTCGGATTTGCCAGTAATAACTGAATAGATAACAGAATTGATTCCAATGTAATCGCAGGGTTATAAGAACCGTTAGGAGGCATTCGCAATAAATCCAGGCAAATCTTACCAGCTTATAAAAAACATGTTATTTTACATATACTATGTTAATATTCGGAAACGTTTGAACTTACAACTATCAATGTTTGGGTGGTAGACAGGTGTAATAAATTTAAAAGTTGGTGGTCGAAATGGGTACTGCTCACCGAATGATATAGAGATCTTGAAAATGCCCTCTTCATAAGGCGAAGCTTTTGGACCAGGCACCAAGGCCTCAATATTGTTATCGCTCAAAATTTTGCAGCTAATGCCTAAAAGAATGTGCATTTAAATCTTTTTTAGTGTAGAAAGTATAAACGGGCAGTCACATATTAAAAGTAAAAATGGCATTGTGGCATGGTTTACCATGATCTTTTTTGGAATTTTCTATCTGATGAACCTCCTTGGGAATTCTCATCTTTTTTATTTTATCACTGTTCATGTTTAAGCGGGAAAAGTTGGCTAGAGCTGCGTCGTTCCGGAAACGAACTAGTTCAAAATAGCTGTTCACTAAAATAAACGGAACTTTTATCTCCTTCGTGCATCTAGTTCCTTTAGTTCATGAAGTACAATTAAGTTTACCCATGTGCGTTTAATGAGAGAATATACATTATCCGTGGTAGATGACAAGTACATGTATCATCACTTGTGAGCATTGATATGCCTAAAAAAGAAATGCATTCACTTTTACTGGTTAAAGTTCCCTGCTTTGTCTTCTAATTGGCTGATGATAACCTCGACATAAAATGAATGAAAAATTGTGTCAAAAATATTATTTTCAAGGAAAAAATCGGTAAAATATGCTTACAATTATCGGTTGTGGATTTTTTTCAGTTACCGACAAAAATCGGTAGAATTGAAAAACGCAAAATTCTGAATGAAAAGTTGATATTGATATAATTTGGAGAACTTTTCCCAGTGAAATAACTCACTCCAAAACGCAACATTTTTTCTGCTCAAAAGCTGTATTCAAAATAAATGTGTGAATTCAAATTGCGTTGGATCTCGGCGCAATAAAATCCACATGCAAATTTTAAAATCCACATTTAATGTCAAAATAATTTTTTTTGTGTATCTATTGTTCTGTAATTTCAATTACAATAATCTATTTTAGCATAACATTTAGTAGTCAGCTGGCTTGGCAGAGAACCTTAAACTTGGGCCATGAACTAGTCCCTTGCTCCACTAACTTTACTTATATTATGAGTTCAATCCCCTATTCCATATTGTTTCTATTGTTCACTAAGGCTGGTTAAGTTGTTGAAGGAGCAAAGAAACATGTTCACTCGCGTTTCCATATGTAGAATACAGACCCGTTCGTATTATCACTTTACTAACACTTTGCCAGGTTCTAATTCAACGTGTACGAAGTGGCCTTTAATACTAAATAATATAAATAACGGTAATTTATTGGTCCAACCACTCAGGTTAAAAGTAAGCAACAGTGGCGGGGGAAGAGATGGCCATGGTAAAATACGAAAACTGTGGAATACTATCTTTGGAAAATATTTGTTGCTTACAAACATTGTGGGATCAGGTATTCTAATGGTCGTTGGGGATGTTGCGGCGCAACAAATCGAGTATCGTCGTAAAAAAGACAACAGTGTCCATCGATTTGATTTGCAACGGATAGGTCGAATGTTCATTGTTGGAGCTCTGCAGGGCCCCCTGCACCATTACGTCTACAATTGGATGGATAAAGTAATGCCAGTAGCGAATTTACGGAATGTGGTAAAAAAAATTCTTATAGACCAATTATTCATGTCGCCAATATGTATTTTCATATTTTTCTACTCGGCATGCTACTTGGAGAGGAAAACTTTGGCAGAGACCAACGACGAGTTGCGAGACAAATTCGCATTCATCTACTGCATGGACTGGCTGTTGTGGCCAGGCGCACAATATGTTAATTTCCGTTACTTAGATACCAAATATCGTGTAACGTTTGTTAATGTTTGTACAGCATTATATAATATTTTTATGTCATATGTTAAGCACGATTATTAAAGTATGTTATGTATGATGGCTCGGAAAACTGTATGTATGTATTTATTTACATTGAGAAGCTATCTTTAATTGTTTAACAACTACTGCCACATTGAGTGTGGATTAAAGTTCAAATGTTATCGAATCAAGTACCTAATTAGCTTTACTTTAAGACAATTTGCAAATTGAGGCACACATCTGTTTTTATTATTGTTTAGATAATTTAGTTATTATTTATATTGACAAATATAGTTAATAATTTAGAAAAATTAAAACTGGTTCATTTCAACATCAAATAAAGAATGCATCAAACGCATTTGCTCTTGACTTATAAAATTTGCTAAAAGTAAGACTATATTTTCATTGCAACGTGAAAGCTGTTGTTTTAGAATAATTCGAGTATCATCTCGTGCCCCCTTGTCGGTACATCGGGTCCGTCGGGTTGTTGTTGCAGCGTTTACATCGGACGGCGTAAGATCCAAGTTGAAATCTTCATTATGTGAATTCCATATTGCCATAAATTCCTCAATAAAGTCAACAGTTACAATGAAACTTGAGAAATTATGGAACGTAAAATTTCTTCTGGTCGCTATAATGGAGAATATTTGTTCTGCCAGTTCTTTTTCCCTCGGGTACTCAAGTTGTACTAAAATTAGCAAATCACCCAAAATCTCGTCAGGACAGTTCGGTTCATAAATACGACGCTATCCGCATTGAAAAATAGACAGAAGCACAGACATAAAAATATTTTCATCATCAAAGCTTCTATATACCTACACATAAGTTGGAAACTATCGCTTTACAACAGTACTGCAATAATGCTTTCTGTGTCAGGGGTATAAAATCATGTGTCGGGGCACTTTCAATGTCAAATGTTCCAAAAACTGCCCCGAAGTTGAGGGAAGCTCAGCTAATATTTTCAGTATACATTCAAAACCTTCAAACTATAGAGAAAAAATAATAGGCTATAATAACAATAATAACAAAGTCGTATGCTTTCAACGTACCGAAAGTTTCCCTTGAAGCAAGTTTAGCCCCAACTTCAAAATATGGTGTACCAAACTACTTTTTATAGTCATCTCAAGCATTAGCTTCTTGGCTTCTTCTTGATGACCAAAATAGATTGCTAAATCGAAGAGGAATCTGGAAATCCATGGTGATAGAGGCAGAGTTAAAAGCAGTTTACTGAATTCTCTCTGAAATTGTTCTGTATTGAGCAATTGCCAACATTGCGCAGCATGGACAAAAGCTTTGGAGATTTCTTTACTTGTTGGTGTCGTGAGAGATATCTGTGGCGGCTCCATTTGTGGGTCTAAACGCTCAACTTTCCAATCGCTAAATCCCTCAACTAAAACGTGATTAATTTCCACTTCTTCAGGGCGCGTATTACAATTTTTAATGTAGCAATGCAACGAATAAATGAACAGTGTTGTGGCATAAAAAAGCACTTGATTACTTCCTGCTGGACTTGTCGAAACAATTTCAATAAGTTTATCCCAGTAAACATTCTGTCCCCTAAAGTTTAAAGTGAAAAAAATTATTGTGATATTTTATAAAATAACTTTCCATTTTGCAATATACCAAGATTTGTTAAAAGGCAAAAATGCTTCCCATCGCTGTATTTTACCGCATAGCATCAATACTTGAAATATTTTTTTCCATATATCGTTAGTATCACATTTAACTTCGTCCAAAATTTGTCGAATGTAGTATTCTAGGGATATGGTAAAAAGTCGGCATACTAAATTTGGATTGGTTGCTAGATCTGGTGTCTTGTGGTATATTAATGGTAATGCTTCCTCAACCAACATTTCCTGATATTTTTGTGGATTTTGCTTCATCCCATCGGCAATCATTTCCAAAAGCCGGGGCTGACAATAAGAAGATATATAAATAATATGTGCACATAAAATGTTATCTTACCGAATGGGTTACAGCCGCCTGTGGGAAACGCTTAAAAACCAGCAATAACAGCTTACATTGATTCAAACTATTTTCAGTGTTATTGACCGTCATCATGAGGATTTTGTGTTGTACTTCGTAGGAAACATGCTGAAACATTTTCACGTAGAATTCCTGCTGCGACGTTATCTCATTTTCATTCTTAAGCGCATTTGTTAATTCGCTAATTTCTTCCTCGAGTATTTGAACATTTGGATGCTGTACATTCAGAATTCTGTAAATGGAACATTTATACGTTATAGTGTTGTTATATTCTTTTAAATTCCATTGCTTACATATAACTAAAACATTTCGCTGCTTCTTCAAAATTGTTTCCCTCTTTTTCTATCTGATATGCCTGGTACTGGAATGTAGAATATAAATGTAATTAAAACATATTAAAGATATGTAATAATAACTCTAGTGTAGTAACAACTCTCAGATTTCTTTCTTCCAGAGACAGGTATTTGCACCCTGATAGTAGCAAATTATAGCATTTTGGTTATAGTATCAACTATAACTACATATTAAAAAAAAGCCCGGTTCCAAAATACAAACACTTTCATACAACTCCCGAAATTTCAGATGAAATCTATGTTTTTCATATCGGTTCAATAGATCTAACCCGAGTCTTGGACCCGGACTTTTGGGTCAAATATCCGGGTCCTTCCACCAAGAAAAAATACTTTCCCGGGATTCAAAAAAGTTACCAGAGTTTTTACTAGAATTGTTCCAACCAACCTGCACGTTGAAGTTATTGGGATACAGTGTTTTCGCCGTAATAATCCATGCTTTTGCCGATGCGATATCGATCGCTTTAAACTTTTTCGCTTGTTCTATTATATATGATTCGTCCATGTTATGTTTTTTATTCAATTATCCAATTCTAAAATGGAATTATTTATATTATTATTTCAGTTATTAATATTATTAGTTAATTTAACAATGTTGGCGGTCGGATTTATTTTGTTTTTTTTTAAGTTTTTTGTTTATTATTGTTTCACGCAGAATCTCAAATCACACATATACACACTTGTTCCATTTGTTCCTAGATATTTATATATATTTATTTATACGAAATGCGAAAAATAATTAATTAATGCATTAACAATTTAATAAACCGACGCCTATTTAAGACAAACGTCATAATATACAAAGGCTTGCCACCTCTATTTTTATAGAAACGTCAAATTTTATATAAAGGCTTGCCACATATTTTTTATTAGCCGCGACCGCGTCGTATGGTGACGTCATATACAACAACAACAGAACGGCAACTGAGACTATTTATATTTTATTTTTAGATTTAGCCTTTATATTTTAAATATAGTGCGTGTAGAATTTTTTTTGATTTTTTAGAATCGTTTTTACGTGTCTTTCATTGAATATTTTTTATCGAAAGAATATCTTGAGCTGGTTTGAGAATTTAAAAAGCCTGCGGTTCCCACTTCAATCTTATGTTTTGTTTCTGAATTGAGATGAATTTGATACTCGTGTTTTTATTCTGCTTAGCTGTACGCACTGCCTCAGTTTTCGTAGTAAAAACGTTTTATGTTCCTGATGAATATTGGCAAAGTTTGGAGGTAGCACACAAAATTACATTTGGGTAAATACAATACGTTCTTAGCGTCCACGCAGTTACGAATATATATATCTTCTTGTATAATTTTAGATACGGCTACTTAACATGGGAGTGGGTGGAGGGAATACGTAGCTACATATATCCCGTTATCATAGCTGGAATTTATAAAATTTTGGCGTTGCTGAGTCTGGATACTGTGAAATGGCTGATTATCCTTCCTCGTTTACTACAGGCTACTTTGTCGGCATATTCCGATTATCGATTTTTCATTTGGACAGGTAAAAAGAAATGGGGACTGTTTCTCATGGCAGTGTCTTGGTTCTGGTTTTATACCGGCTCGAGAACACTAAGCAATACGTTGGAGACGTCATTGACAACTATTGCTTTGAGTTACTTTCCATGGAACGGTGAAGGTGTAGCATATTTGTGGCCAGCTGCTTTGTGTGTTTTCCTGCGACCGACCGCCATGATTATATGGCTGCCATTGGTTTTCTATCACCTTCACAAATCCAAATTAAGATGGACGGAATTAGTATTTAAGCGATTCATTGTTGTTGGGTAAGTAATCCACATATATTTTCCTTGTGATTTTGTTTTGAATAAGACAATACAACCGATATTTTCAGATTACTTGTTGCGGCAATCTCCGTGGGTATCGACTCCTACATGCATGGCCGCTTTCTCATTACTCCATATGAGTTTCTCAAGTACAATGTTATTCAAAATATTGGCAGCTTCTATGGCTCCCATCCATGGTAAGATGCTAGTTTCGATAAGATAGATGAAGCATAAACGCTCAGAATACTACATATTACAAAAACGGTACACATATTTGTATTAAACCCTCTTCCACAAAATTTCAAAATTACAAAATATGGCGTGGGTCTATCACATAAATTTTGTTAAAACGTAAAAGAATCATTTCGGTTTAAACTGTCGAATATCAGAAGGACCTAATTGACATGCAACTAATTTGTTTGGCAATGCGTCCGGGGAAATTTCATAAAACCACGAGGTTTCGTTACAAAATAGTCTCCAAGTAGGAATGCGAAATGTCGAAGGAAATTGTCACGCTTTATTATTATTATTATTATTTTTTTTTTGAGTAAATAGAAGCGAGAATCTACCGTCAAGTATCCACCATCCGGAAACTTGATCCACAAAGGGGATCTCAATGCAAGAATGTGTAGAAAGTTTACGCATTAGGAATTCAGTTTTAATGATTGTTAATTCACTTTTCTTTATTTTAGGTATTGGTATTTTACAGTTGGTTTGCCTACAGTTTTGGGCATTAATTTTCTGCCTTTTCTATTTGGTACCATCGAAACTATTCGTCATAGCCGTGCATATCCAACACGCAAATACCTGTTGTTGACCGTTTTTTCTATCTCTGATTATATTAAGTACTGTAGAGCATAAAGAATTCCGATTTGTATGTGTTCTACTGCCATTATGTTTATATATTGCCTCAGATACCTTAACCAGATGGAGTTACAAAGCGTCAAGGTAAATTTTACAAAATAATATAGCCTGCATATTGATTTCATGAATTAATATTTTAAAGGATTTCGTTGTGGTTTGTTGCCATTCTAATAATTGTTGGCAATGCTATACCAGCCTGGTACTTAAGCACGATTCATCAAAGGGGACCAATTGATGTTATGACAAAACTGAATCATATAGCATCAGAATACAAATCCGAACAGAACCGCCCTGCAAACATACTCTTCCTAATGCCATGCCACTCCACTCCGTATTATAGGTATGATTTATTTTATATTTGCTTGTAATCTTCCTAGACGAGACAATAGCGAATACGTATGGTTTATTGAGTTGTTTAATAAAAATTTTTCTTCAACACCATTTTAGCCACATCCATCAAAACGTCACTATGAGGTTTTTAACGTGTGAACCAAATTTGAAAGATACACCCAATTACAAAGATGAGGCGGAACTCTTTTTCGAGTCACCAGTACATTGGTTACGTTCTCATATTCCTTCGTACCCACGCTCGGCAAAGCCTTCTCACGTGGTACTGTACGAACCGCTAGCAGACACAATAAACGAATTCCTTGTTGACTACAAGCTATTGGAAAAGGTTGCGAATGCGGAGGTAAAAAATGTTGATCCCCAAATCCTCCTGAAAAAGTGGTCCGTCCTTGTAAAGGAAAATCAGTTTAATGCTGATTCTCTTTTACAGTACATTAATTCAAGGACTGGAAGGAACATTCTTATTTATCAACGTTTACGTGATGGCGAAGAAAATAAGTTTAATCGAAATGAATTCAGAAGTGAGGACGAATTGGTGGTAAAATATCCAGATTTAGCAGAATTTAAGAACATCGATGGTGTATATGATGAAGTGGAAACGGAACATAATCTGTTCAACTAAAACATTTAAAAATGTTTCTTTTATATAGTCCATGATCAACTGGTACAAATACTTTCCTCTATAAGCTATGCATTATGTATAATTAATTTTAGTTAACGTATTTAATTACAAGTTATCACAAACTACATGATTTTTTAGCTCATCGATCTAAATATTTACTACATTAGTTTGATTTAACATTGTAAAATTTTCGGTGTTGTCGGTAAAAAATTCAAGTGCAAATAATTAAAGTTTAAGAAGATTTATTAATAAAAATTTTAACTAAAAAACGGCAATAATTGTTTTTTTTTTTACTTTCCCAAGATCTGATAGCGAAAAAGTAAATACTATTTTCTATTTCTAGTACTTATATCACAATATCTAAAGAGGACTAACCATATTAGGAAAATTTTGAGGAACAGGCGCTGCGGAGTTCAAGTTAGTACATTTTTCTTTAGCGGGTGTATCATGTGGATAATTTTTTTTTTTTTTTGGCTTTGCTTTGAGCTAAAATATCCACTCTATCGAATGCAAAATATGCTTTGCTGTGTGATTCTACATAATTCTAATGTATATTAAAGCTAATAAAACCTTTTAAAGGTGTATTTAATTGATAAAAAATATTTTTATACTACGTTTCAAATCACATGTTTCCGTTGTTATATTTATAACCACTGAAGGTTCTCATCGAATTACACCTGCATGTAACGGTAGCCTCTGGCGTCTTTGTAATGATGTCCTTCATTTAGTTTAATATATTGACCAAGGAATTGTTGCACAATGGAACTGCGGCATATGTCATACAAATTGCTTACGACATAAGGCGTTAATACCGTTATGAGGATGTAAGCCAGATTTGGTAATTTATTAGTATGTCCCCAGGGATAAAACCAATATCCACGACGTATGGCATCACGTGTATGGTGTGTTATAAAGGCACATAGCAAAACACCCAATACAAGGCTCCACTTAAAATAGTTGAGACAAGAAGTGCAAAGATAAGCCAACAGAAGCAGAACAATAAGCGATGAGCAATGTAGAAAAGGACGCCGTGAAAGATTTGTAGCATCCTAGAAGGAAATAAAACGTTTTAATTTGATTTAATTTGATTTTGATTGGCAGCTTACCTCCAAACTCCAGCTTCTAGCTGCAATGAAGTGGTCGATGTCAATAAGTGAAGAACAGGCAAAACAAGTAAAAATCAGGAACCATCCAAAGAAATGTGTAGTTCTTTCATAAAATTGTACAGCAAAAGCAATGCCGGACAATGCACCAATTGCGGCATGGGTAGCATTGTCCGCCAAGGCTTTAAGCAGCGGATGCTGTGTCAGTTCAACAAAATTATCACCCAATAGGCATGTTATAATTACCACGGTGGTAATAATAATACGCATGTATACCATTAGGTGAAAATACATTGGATCTCCACGAAGTTTATTGAAATGTATATTATGTATGTTTTTCTGTCGTCAGTCGTGCGTGAAATATTTTAACAAATATTGAGCATTACAATTTTGCACTATTATTATTATTATTATATGCACTATTCACATCATTTCATTACATTTGTTATTGTTATTAAGAACCTTTTTAAAATCAACCAAGGTCTATAAACAGGTCACACAGGAGGCCCAAATAACACTTGACGTACGCCTTCAAAATGCAGTACAATTCAAGGCCTATTAAACAGGACGTGTAAGTCACAATGAAAACCTACCATTGAGATTAAAAAATAAAAACATACATTGCCGAAATGTTTGTTGTCAGAAGTGGGGCACAGTCACAACAAATGCAGAAGCCACACAGACCATCCAATTAGACAAGCTGATTTCAGCCGCATTGTCAAAATGAATGCCAATTGTGAATTAAACGTAAACAAACACTTTGTCACATGGTAGAAGAATACAGGTAGTCGCATCAACACAGCTGCTGGGACAATGACTTCCCAAATCAGATATTTCCTTCCAGAGTTTTTTATCGTTTAATCACCTCTGCAATTGCAATGGGTCCAGATATGTAGGAATTTCAAATTAATACATTTGAAGTCATGGGTGTTGTTAAATGTTCAGCATTTGTTCCAAACTTTAAGTTAAAAATCCTTGGTCATACCTCTGAAAAATATGCAGATATTTTAAAGTAATGATGTAAAATTAATGCCCGATAATGTGAACTTCACTTCCTTCACTTTTCCTAAATTAAGGTATAACAAAAGTGGACTATAAAAGAAAAAGATATAAGAACGGACCTATAAATATAAGAAACAATCATTGCAGAGCCCTTATAGAAGAATTTAACTAGTTAAGCCCATGGTACAATAAGGAGGTAGAACAGCTTCGTAAAACTATAGAAATACAGCCCTGTGGCTATGCCCGCTTTCTGTCAGAATTATTCAAAATTATATCCAACAAGTTGTTTTCATTTATTTGATATTTTTTGTTCATTTTTAAAATGAGTCAAATAGCGCGAAAGATGAATGAAATGCCTGGATGTTATCTCAAAAATATGATCTAAGCAGTTCTATCTTTCAATTCTGTGGCAAATCTGGTTAATATCATTAAAGCGCTCCGTGCGCCCCGCAATTTACGTTTCTTCCAATCATTAAGCCTGTCAATGTAGTTTTATGTACTCCACCTTAATGTGAAAATTTGGAAGATATTTCAGAAAGAAGTTCTTTGTATTTAATTATTCTTTCGCGATTAATTGTTTCTTTTAAAAATTGAGGAAAATATCAAATAAAAGTTCAAAACTAACACAACAACAAAGACATAGCCTTATCGACACTGAACATCTCTTTATGGTTGTGGTCAGTAACATGATATAACGGAAGACGCTTTTATTCTACCAGGTCCTTTATCGCGTATCACGTGCATTCTTGCTCTGTTCCAGAACCTGGAATAATCTACTAGTTTTGCTTTTGCTTTTTCTTCGATCTCATAAACGGAAAATCGGTTATCGTAACATTTCTACACTCTTTCAGTTCTGAAACAGTCCACCTGATATGGCCTCACGAAGAATCCAGCCGATGACTTCAACCAGTCAAAAAATCGTTTTATGTATTCTAACCTTAAAGACTCTGTCAGAAAATCGGTTGTCGTAGTAAAAACTTTTACATTTTTGCCGCTCCGGAAATACCAAATATTTTTTTTACATATATAGTGTACAATTTTCCATATGTAGAAAGTCAATCGATCGCAACGAGCACTGTTTTTATCGGAAAAATAAAATTTAATAAAAATTGTTATTTGTTTGTTGTGTAAAAATATATAAAAATAAATTTGCTGTAAAAATTAATCCAAAAAGTACTATATTTTATACAGAAAATACTATATAATCACAATCTAACGAAAGGAAATAAGAACATTGAAAGAGTGTGATAGCAAGAATTATGAGTCTTATTTAAAATTATTTTGATATATTCACGGAAATACATGGTTAATGATATTTAAAACCCTTATCGTCTGATTGACATTGAAAGTCTCCATGTGGTCGTTTCAAATAAGCATTCCCTTTGCATTTTCGGCAATTTAGCTTGTTAAATTTCACTGCATGGTAAGCAGGTTCCAACCTCGGGTTTTTGTATGTACAATGGATTTATAAATATAAATTTTGACAATGAGATGTTGTCAATTAAATAATTTTTAAAAAATGTAAACATATGATTGCATGACTTTACCTTCTTTATTATACCATGCTTGAAACTATTGTGTTAAACTAAAGTTACTTTACTTAAATAGACAAAATCAAAAAAACGTGGATCAAATATTCCATCTTCCTAAATGAATACTTTACATCGTAGAAATCTCAGTGACTACGACAATGACATTTATATGAGCTGGTACATCGCCGTTAACCACTTGAATCGCCTTCGAACTTTTAGTGCAATAATTTAAGAGGTGATTCAACGGCTTCAAGAAATTTGACAAACACAGGGACTCAAAGTTTAAGTTTTTTTGGTGTGTGTGTGAATGTAGATCGAAAAAGAAGAGTGAAAATGGCGAATCAATCCGGTGTAGGTAAGAAATTTTTATTTATTCCTAATATGTTCACTATTGGAACAATAATTGCAAAAATGTGCTTCATATTTTAAAACATTGCTAGCATGTAGTGTGCCAGTGTATAGTGAAGCTACTTGGGTTATTTTTGACATTAGGTATGTCTCCTTGTGTTTGCAAATTCTTTTGCCGATGTTAGGCGTGAAAATGTATTATTTTCAGTGGAGTGTGGCGTGAAACAAAATTAATCTTCGAATATGTTTTCATAAAAATGTCTGTTTGCAAAGGATCTAAACATTCCTCTATGGCTTGAGACATAATGAAGAATTATTGAAGTCTAGAAAAAATATTGGAAAATATGCAGCTAGTACCCCTCCCACCAACAGTCCATATATGAGTTAGATGTGCGCCTGTGCCTTGCGAAGAATAAATGAATCTGTCCAAGTATGGATTTATTGACGATTTTTTAGACTAAATTATAATAGCTACTCAAATGAATTTGTTTAGAAGATATTTAATTCATTTTAAAGTAACCCCACAATTGAATGCGTTAATGTTGGAACATGTAGCGTTAATTAGATTAGATTAGGCCTCTGAAAGATGTAGTGATGCATATTTGTGGAAACAACAATAATTTCCAATAAAGCTTTGGTACTTTATGTTGGAATTCACTATTTATGAAATGCAATCAATATTTGCTTTAATCATATGTGGCCTCTGTGTTTATGCAATACACATTGTGATGACTCAATAGTGGAACGTAATATTCATACAATGTCTGAAAACTGGAGATAGAACAAATTTAACTGCACAAATCTCGTGTTGTGTTATTTTTGCCAATTATTGTTGATGTTGCATTGATTACGTTCTATTGTTACGTTCTTTGTATCGATTGAAATGTCATGCCGCTATATTAATGATATTAACATGTCATTTGGGCATGAGGAGTTGGAATTTTACGGTCACTATTAGTTTTTTTTTTTTATATTTTATAAAGTAATCATGTAAGGTCATTTTGAAAACACTAACCATATAAAAAATATCTGAGCATGTCTTTAAAAAATTTACATTTTCAGTGGTTCCAAGAAACTTCCGTCTACTTGAGGAATTGGACCAAGGCCAAAAAGGTGTGGGCGATGGCACTATTTCTTGGGGTCTTGAAAATGATGATGATATGACTCTTACATATTGGATTGGCATGATTATTGGTCCTCCTCGTGTAAGTTTAATATTCTTATTTGCTAGTTTTTAAATTGCAAAAAACTGTTTCATGGCGTCATTTTGTGTTAATTGGTTCATTTTTTCAG